TCTACAACCCTCATTGCATACTCCTACGATAAAAATAATGCCCTAAAATATAATACTTTTAGACTATTCTCTCCCCCATAGACTTCAATGCCGTAAACACTTACCCTCTTAACCAAAATGGATTTTTTAAAACAATATCTACCCAAGGTTTCACCAACTGATGAAACGAATGCGTAAAACGTCGAGAATTCATACAACAGAATTAAAGGAATGAAATTCTGATATATTATAAGCAGACAAACCCTGAAAATACCAGAGGAAGCCAGATATAAAACCCCCACATACTTTTAGTCCCACTTACAGCAAAATGCCCTGAGCAGCCCAATTTAAAGACAGAAAGTAGACGAATGAATGTGAGTGAAAAAAGGACTCAGGAGTAACTGCAAAAGCAGGTGTGAGGAATCTAAGTAGAATGATACAAATGTTCTAACTAGATTGTAAACTGCACAAAATGAAGCAAACTTACTAAAAAGCACTGCCCTACACCGGGTGAAATTTTATCATTTCTCAATGAAGCAGATTTAAAACTCACAAATTTTAATTTGGCCTAGGATGGCACGGTCCATGTTTCAGATCTGTTGTTCATAGGTGTTGGTTTGACTTGTACTCGACTCGCTGGCACTTCACAATGACAACAGTTTTCATGTAAGGGGCTCTGGTGGCACAGTATTAAGCACTTGACTGCTAACCAAAAGAGGTTTGAAATGACCAGTAGAGAGAGAGATTGTAGCCTGCCTCCATAGTGATTAGTTTTGGAAATGTGATAGGGCAGTTTCTTTCTGTCCTAGTGTATTGCTATGAGTTGACAACAGGGTTTGGTTGGGGTCTTGAGAATATTCTATTCAAGGTCCTTTCTCTTCAGGATCACTGAGGGGAAAGATATAAAGGGCAGACAGGAAGGACGGAAGGGGCCCTCTGACCTACACTGCAGAACAAAAGAGACATGCAGACCTGTTCTCCTAACCCTGAACTGATGGATTAGGGTCCCTCATTCCTTCCTAGTCAATCAAGGTCTACATTTGTACTGTGGAACAGGTTGAAAATATAGTGCTAAAAGCAAAAATTCTTTATGTTCAAGGGTGTCTGTGAAAACCTCCTTGCAGGGCTCATAAAGGGCACCACCCAAAGTCCTGTCCAGTATTCTTACTCTAGGTTTGGAAAACTATGAATAAGAGTAAAGACACATACAGGTATCGGCATGAGACTCCTGACCACTTACACAATTCTGCTACTCAAGTTTCTACCAAACCTCAGATGTGAATACAGAACACAGAAGCAGCAGAACCAACCATGCTCACTTGCAAAGCTTATGCCACTATCAAAAGGTAACCCCAAGAGCCTGTAATACATACAGGTGCACTTAGCCTTGTAAGGATTACTAAGGATTAAGTGTTAAACTATCTAACACAAGCCTCATACAGAGGAGGCACAATCAATGTTCCCTTGTTCATGCTAAATCTTGACTAAATAACTGAATCTACCCTATCTCCCCAGATTCCAGCCTTAGACCCCAAATGAAAGTACCTCTCCATGCCATCCCCAATGAGCTCCTCTCCATCTTCTTCCTCTTCCTCCAAGGGCCCCTCGGTGCCCAGCAGCCCTTCAGATTCATCCTCGAAGGGAGGAAGGTCTCGACCTGGGCTGGAGGTAAGAGCATCAGTGCGCCGGGAGCTTCGGCCAGGGCTGGAGGTGAGAGGGTCAGTGCCTCTGCGGGGCCGGGCAGGGCTGGAGGCCCCAGTAAAGGATTCGGATGATTCCTGGAAGAGATGACAACACTGTCAAAGACAGGACAGGTGGAGACCAATCCTGCGTCCCTTCATGAGGGATGACCTCTCCATGGTAGGTTACTTCAGTAGACCAGTATTGCTGTTCTCAAACACGTCCAACTGCTTCCACTTAAGACCTCTACTTGCAGTTCCTTCTGCTGGCACACTCAGCTGCTCTAAGTCTAGTACGCTGGCAGACAGTTTCCTAGTGATTTCTCAGAGAAAACATTGAAGATAGGCAGTTGTTTAGTTGCCTGTTTACTGTTTACGTCTACTTCCCCTCAACGGGGAATAAGCAAGACTACAAAATGCAGAAGTGGGGCCAGCCACTGGGGCCCTGGTGGACAGAAGGCTCCCAACAAGCACGTGCAAAAGTAAACAGCCCAGCGTGCCCAGGACCAGAAAGACCCGAGGGGCGCTAGGAGGGGGTCAAGGGGCGCGGTTCGAAGGGCGCGGGGAGTGGAAGCGGCTTAGGGGCACGTCGAGGGGGGGAGGAGGAGGCCTTGAGGGGCGGGGAAAGGCTAGCCGGAGCGCCCTAGAAAATGGAGTGGGGAAAGAAACTCATTCCAAACTCGATCCCAGAGGCCGGCCTGGGCATGGAAGGTCTGGTTCTGGATCGGCCAGAACAGGGCACAGGCCTGGCAACCAGAAGGCGCAAAGCCCCGAGGTTCCCGCATCCGTTCTCGCCGGCCTCGTGTGGCCCCATTAACTCTCGGTCCCAGGCGCAAACAGGTAAGCCCCACTAAGACCACCCTCCCGCCCCGCCTCCGCCACCCCACGCCATGGCCGGCCTTCCGTGAGGGTCCCATGGACACCACCCGGCACGGCCTGGATTTCGGGGGCGCAGCTCACCGCCATGGCTCCGCTGCTCTCCTCTCTGCAACAGCCGCCCCAGTCCCGTTTCGCGCCAAAAGTGGCTCACGTGACTCTCCGGAACCCGGGAAAATACGGCGTCACGGCGCCAGGACGTCTATTTGCATCGAGGCACCGCCCCTGGGGTGGGGCCAGGGCACCCAGTCCCGCCCCCAAGTCCCTGAAGTGCCTCGAATTCGCTGTTTTGGCGACCAAGCGTAGGAACCTGGGTCTGATTCTGCATATGGGGCGAGTCAGTCACACCTACCGTGTGCGCGACCTGGTCAGGCTAACTCAGAGAGATTGCTCCCTTTAAAAGGCATAGCGGCTAAGTGCTAGGCTGCTTGCTAGTCGCAAGGTTCTTGGTTGTGTCTTGTCAAGCCAAACTCATAGCTGTTAAGTCAGAACCCACAGCTGACCCGACAGAGGGTTTTCAGGAGGTTGTAAATCGCAAGGGAGAAGATTGCCACCTTTCTCTCCTGGAGCCTCTGGTGGATTCGAACCTACAAAGAGGGACTGCCTTTGGCTTAGCAGCTCACCACCTCTCTATGTACCATGATACCAGAGCTCCCTTATGGCTTGTGATGTTGTTATGTTAGGATACAGCAGGTTTTGAGGCAGTGAATCGCACCGGAAGTGGTTGCTCGTCATTCTCTCGCGGGAAAGCTGGTGGATTTGAACTGGATGCCTTTGGGTTGGCATTACAGCTCCTTGCCACTAGGCCAACCAGAGCTCCCTTGTGTTCTGTTGTTGTTGTTGTTGTTACGTGCCGTGAAATTGTCTACGACTCATAGCAACCATATTGGAAACTACAACCCGTGATTTTCTGCAGCAAGCCCTTCAGGGAAAGGGACAGAGAGGGATTGGAAGAAGGGAGTGGAAATCACTGGTGCAAGAGAGATCAGTGTGGGAATGGGAATGAAGAAATAGATAAGACACAATGAGAACTTTAGGAGAAGTGGTGATAAAAGTAATAGATCAATAGTAAAAGAAAATGCATGATTTATAATATAAAACACAATGTACAGAAATGATTGTGCAACAAAAATTGTATACCAATGGAACAGCGTCTATGAATAATTGTATAAAAGTGAATGTTGTTGGGGAGCTCTGGTGGCCTAGTGGCAAGAAGCTGCACTGTAATCCCAGAGGGGCACGGTTCAATCCACCAGATGCTCTCCTGGAGAAGAAGGGACAATCTCCTCCTGACTAGTCAGATCCAATTTGATGGTACACACACACACACACACACACACACACACACACACACACATACACACACACAGACGTGAATGTTGGTATAAGTAAATAATAAGTTTTTTAAAATGATCAATAAAATAGGAATAGAAGAGAATGTTCAATAGAATTAAGACCATATATACAAAATCTTTTGGGAGGCTGTGCTTTTTTTTAAGACAAGGAATCAGGATTGGATGAAGACTCATCAACAACCTACGTTATGCAGATGACACAACCTTGCTTTCTGAAATTGAGGTGGACCTGAAGCACTTGCTGCAGAAGGTAAGAACTGTAGTCATCAATATGGGTTGAAGCTTAACATCAAGAAGACGAAGATTCATTTGATGGGTGGAGGGATGAGGGAAATTGGGAGAATCTGTTCTAGAAAACAATGTTTGAATTTTGTAAAATAAACTAGTATAATTTAAAAAAGAAGACAAAGATTCTTACCACTGGGCCAATTAGCAGCAAACGTGATGGATGGAGAAAAGATTGAGGCTGTTAACAGTTATAGCTTGCTCAGCACCACAGTTAACACTCTTGGCACCAGCATTCAGGAAATCAAAAGGACAAATTGCATTAGGTAAATCTGTTATCCACAAGCTTTGAGGACTCTCATAGGGTCACTATGAGTCGCCTGTGATTTGACGGCACTTAACAACAACAAATCTGTTGTCAAGGACCTTTCCAGAGTGAGAAGCAACGATGTCGGTATAGAGACTAAAGTGTGCCTGATCCAGTCTATGACCTTCACAATTACTTGTTATGCATCAGAGAGCTGGATAATGACTAAGGATCATGTTGTTA